CGTAGATGTACGCTTGTATGCAACAGATATGCATTTGTTGATGTGCTTTTCCGGAACCTCTTTTTTGGTGCTTTTTAAAGGGAAACCTGAAAGGGACACCTGCTGGGAAGCCGCAACGAGAACGGAAACCAACAGGAGACTAAATGTTTTTGTAGCCGCCGCCACTCTTTTATAAGACGTCATCACATTTTGCGCTTGCTTGCCAGGCACTCGATCGGGCGCAGTTCTTTATGGATTGGACAAAGGAGGGGCCGAAGAACCAGTACCCACACAGCATCTTGGCGAGGTATTTGAGCCACCGATTCGGGTAGGTGCGTTTGCAAAGCTGAAATCCATTGATGTTTGTTTCTACCAGCATGGGTTAGTTATTGTAAACGCTTAGCGTTGCCCGCCTCGGCCAGTCCGCTTTTGGCTGGCAGAAACCGGCAACTTTCCCCCCAAGAAACCAGTCAAATTCACCTTCGCTTGGCCCAAGCACTGCCATTCTGTTTCTCTCTGCAGCTCTCGTTCTGGCCCTTGAAGCCATGTGAAAACACGCAGACATGCACTCACCCCTCTACCTTGGAAACCAGCTCGTGCAAACGCAAGACGCAAGACTTCAAGGAAAACTGTGTCCACAACGTCACTTTGTGTCTGCAGATCGGACAGAGGCGCATGATGACTCAATGGTTGAACACTGGTCCGATACAAGGTTGGGTCAACCTGACCTCCCAGACACGAGCGCTGGGGAGCAGGCTGGTTCTGGAAGTTGACCGGTTTCTAGGGTGATTTGATCGGTTTCAATGACCGGTTTTAAAGGGGGATTCGACCGGTTTCTAGAGGGGTTTGGCCGGAGTTGGATCGGCTTTGAGGGGCGGAATTTGCCGGCTTTCATCAGCCGAGGCGAATACATACGTAGAAAGGGATTGCTACAATCTCTATGAATCCCTGAGAGAGTCGTGTGCTCAGACGGCGCGTTGTGGAGGTAGCTTGCTTGCCGGCCAAAAAGCTGGCAGCGTTTCTGAAAAAGAAACAAAGACACTACCCAACTCCGCGTAAAGAATCTCAAAAAGGTGGACATCCGCACTATGGTTGAGAGCATAGCCTGGGGCCAGCTGTCAAAAGGAAACCAGCGGGAGTCGCCCCTTTTAACCACTGCTCAGGTGTATTTACAGTATGCCAAGTGCACTTGACCACGCTGGGCTATGTGAAGAAGATGGAAGGCAATGTGCTGCAGAAGATGGACAAGCCTGGGGAGTACCGATGGTGGGGCGCCTTGAAGAGGGAGGAGCGCTGTGAAGCCGTGGAATTCTCCCAAATCTGTGGATGTTTGAACTTGAACAGTGGTTTTTTGCAATGTTTAAGCAATCCATTGGTGGCCCAACGCTGCCTCCAAGTGTTGTTTGTTTCACATAGTTTTTTCTCTTCCAAAGTGGGGCCCTGTAAAACCACCCTTGCAAAGCCCCTTTCATAGATTCCAGCTTGCACCAAGGGACAATCATGCAGCCGGGAACCTATTCGTTCAAACCCATGGGTCACCCGAGTTGATTTCTCAAGGGGTACCTTCCCCATTCTTTCCAGGGATCCTTCTTTTCAGGAAACGATCAAACACCCAGGGGAAGCAGCCGGTTTTTGAAAAGAACGATGGTTGAAAAGAATGGTTAAACCCCTAGAATTTGTGTGGTGCGACTTAGACGCGCAACGAGGAGTCCGATGAGCAGGGCCGGCTGCTCTTCAGAGTGTCCGAGAGCGCTGCGGAGATCATGTGATCGGTCAAGATATGTTTTCAAAGGGTCGTTCTGAAAGGAAACCAGGACACCAGCCATTTCGCGGGGTCCAATGTTTCAATGACGTTTATGGCAACCACATATTTTGACCTGTGAGAGCGTTTCAATTCCCGAAAAGGGAACCTGAAACCGAGCCCTTTCCCGTAGGCGATTGAGCAAAAACACAGAGTTCAGAAGGGGTCAGCCACCCCAGACGTCGCCCATAATTTCAGAAGGGAAGCCTATCATTGTGGGATTTTCAGGGTCAAGTATCCAGAATTGTAGCAGTTGTTCATTTTGTTGATTCCTGTCTGAACCCAAAGTGGAGGCCTGCAGGTTCTATCACTAGACGTTGTTGTGAGACTGATGCCTTGCCTGGCCATCAGCGAACAACAAAGCGACGGCAAAGAACCGTAGGCAGAATGTAGTTAGAGAGTCAAGGTTGGGCAGAGTTGATTGAACCAAATGGACCGGGAAACCCAAGCATGTTAGCACTGATGAATAGACTCCTGGTTGATTTTGACCCGGGGTGTCCTCTTTTAGCGGGAATCCTTCGGTGACAGTCCCTATTAGTAGGATGGATTTATTTTTCCGGGGTTGCCATGACAAAGTTGGTTCAAACAATAGTGGCTTACACAGGTTTAGCCAAGGGGCTTGCCCAACCCTGGCTGCAGTGGACGAATGGGTGATTCAGCAGTTTGAAAATGGTGCGGCGAGGTTTGGATGCCTGCTGATATTGATTGAGCATGGACTTGGGCAGTTGCTTCTCGAACGCATGTAGGAGCCTGTCTGGCTTGCAAGGAGAAAGTCAGCAAGGGATGGCCATTGTACCACAAATCAACGATCAAATGGGGTTGTCTCAACATAGGACAACGATCCCAAAAGGGAACTGCAACCACAGACCTTGCATGTCCACAACCCCTTCAAACTGGGTCCCACTATTGGGGGGCCTAGGACACACCCACATGGTAGTCTCTTGCTAGTTTGGAGGACATTGGGAGAAACTCCCCGATTCGGGGAGAGCACTCGATTTTGTGCAGGGCGCACGCAAAGAAATGCCGCAGGTTTCAGCCACACGGCTTCCCTGCGCAGGACTTTCCAAGCCACCAGCCCCCGTGACGGAGCTCGCGCCGGAGCCCGATGACGTCTGGCAGCATTGGACTCAAAGTCGTCCCCGACGTGGTGGGGTGAAAGGAAGGCAACCCTAAAGGGAAAACACATCCAGTTTCCGACAAAATAGACAAACCGAGCAACATGCAACAAGCGCACAACGACGGATAACAAACAGCTCAAGAGAGCAAGCACTACCAACCGAACCGCAAGCCCACACAAAAACCAGCACAAGCACAAAAACAAAAACACACACACAAAAGCAGAAAAGCAGAAAAGCACCACTCGAAGCAAACCAAACGCAGAGGAGCTGCTGCAGCTCTGCTGCACCGAGTGCCAGCGCCGCGCCTTCCGGGCCATCCTCGAGGCCATAGCCAGCCTGAAGCCGGGCTGCCGCGCTCTGAGTTTCGCGCGCGACGCTGGGGACGTGGGGAGGCAGCCTTTTCTGGGCCCTTTGAAGTGCAGTTGTTTTTCTTGTTTTGTGGGGGGGGGAAGGTGTTGGAGCTGGGGCGCTCAAAATGAAGTGGTTGCATTTTGAGGGGTTTTCAAAGTTTGGGAGCTTCCCTTACACCATTTTGAGGGTTTTTGAGGATGTCGCTTTGGTTCCCCTTTTGCGGGCTGTTTCAGGGAAATCCATAGAATATCACTCTTTTCAGGGGAATCACCACTTTATCAACACATCCAGATATGGCATCCCAGTACCTTTTTATGAGTAGAAAGAGGATTAGCACAGGGCGATCATTGCTAAATCCCCATGGTGTCCAAAAGTCGACCATGGAAGTTTTGATTGGTGTTTGTTTTACTGTAGCCCAAAGCCATTTTCGACCGGGATGCCCTTTTAGGGACAAAAATCGGTCGACATCACCCAAAGATAGACGAGGCCATTCGCCGAGTGTTTCCCTTTAAAGCAGCCCAAAAGGGTGCGGCGCCTCCAAAAAAGGCATCCCTACATGCTTACACGCATTCTTCTCTCACGATACTCCCCCCACAACCCCATTCCGGCCCACTCTAATGATTTTGATCCTTACAGTACCTCCAAGAGCAAACATACGCATTTTGGACAACCATGGCTATTTTTTGAGCGCGGAAAGAGAGCCCCAAAAAACACACATTTTCAGCCCCCCCGCCCCAGTTGCACACTTTGTGCGAGCCCTTGCTGGTGCGAGCCTCGACGTCTTGCTTACCCACAAACGCAGCCCTCATCTTGGGTTTTGGTTTAGACATTCCAGGGTTTTTATCAGAACCCACTCTTTCTTAAATGCCCACACAACCCAATGGTCTTCAAGCAAAATCCTCACAACTGCGTGATTTGAGCTGCCTGCCGTTCCCTTGACTCAGCCTTAGAACCTAATGGTTTGGCAAGTTCTCTAAATTCAAACCTATGGTTTGGGTATTTGCCCTCCCGACTTTTGGAGGGTCACCCGTTTGACCATCCGCCAGCCCCCCGCCTCCGCTGGCCGCCTCGAGGCCAGCGGGTGGTGTCGCTCACGGGGCGCCGGGGCCGCGGCAAGTCCTCGGTGGCGGCGCTGGCGCTGGCGGCGCTGCTGCGGCACCGGAAGGCGGGGCCGGGGCCTTCCGCTCGGGGCTCTGGGACCATGTCCTTTTTAGTTTGGTTAAAAACAGATGGGTCCCACTGGTTTAGATGGGGGCTTATTCCATTTACCAGGGCCATCTATTGTTCCAGAAGGCCGCCTGTGTCTGGGACCGTCTCGACGGTGACGAGACGGTCCCTCAAGGGGGTTGGTTTCGAAAAATCCGGGGGGCGAAAAGACACCCCAAGAAGGGTGCCCTCAAGAAAAGACGCACCCAAGTGGGACAATTTCAGATCGCGATTTTGTGCAGAGAAATCCGTGGATCCCTCTGATCTTCGTTAAAAGGAAGTCGGGTGAGTGGAAAACAATATGTCCTTGTCTAGGCGAAAGGGAGACTAAGGGAGTAGTTATTGGGAAGATGGAACATTTTTAAAGATCTGATTGGAGAAATTAATATAACATACCTCATCCAATGCCTTGATTGAACTTTGATAGCTATCTGGATCCCCTGAATCACCCAAAGACGAATTCAGTATTGAGAAATGAGGGATTTCCTTATGGAATACATACGCAGACACCTTTATTTCCATTGATACTGCAGGGGGACGAATTCTACTTCATGGGAAGTTGGTGAACACGGACAAATCAAATGCGTTTGATCCCCCACAAGTTGGAGGTCATGGGTGTCACAGTGTCTCCAAGGAAAAGTGTAGGACTCCTCCCGTTCTTTTCCTTGTGACAGCCGGGAAGGCTGTGGTGGTGACGGGGCCAGAAGGCCACTTGGCACCTCGAGATCGGGAAAGGTGTATGGCTTTCCTTTGTCGGCTTTGGTGGTACAAGGGAGGCCATGTCAGACCTTGTGATTGCGATAAGGGAAGCTGCTTGGGGTGGGGCGATGGCTGCAGTTGGTAGCTGTCGAGGCTTGGGGCTTTGGGCCATGTGTGTTTCACACTGTAAGAAAACGGTTTCATCCGGAACATGCAACTTGTGCAAGTTGGTCAGCGCCGGCCTTTGCCACTAGCTTAGCACACTGCTCTGACGCAGGGATCAGAAACAGAAATCGCTTCATGTGGTTCGGACGTTCGGCAAGCACTGACTGGGGCTCGCCCTGCAGTGATGAACTCATCGTTTGAGGGGGGGGGTTTCTCGGATTGATATGGTCGCCCGCAATCCAAAGTTGACACCCAGCCTGCTCTTCTAGCCTTCAAGCTGGCAGGCCTTTCAGTGCTCGAGCCAGCATTTTCCACCGGAGGAAGCACCAAGGTTGTAAAGGGAAGCAAGAAAAACACGGGTGAGTTCCTGTGTTTGAGGGTGCCCCTTTCGATTTTGGTGGAAGCTACAAGGAAACCAGTCATTTTTGTCTTCCAATAGTTGAGCCACAAATGCCTAGGTAATTGGAGTTTAGTCAGAGACTGTTCCAGTCTTTCCAGGCTTTTGAGTATTGGGTCCAGTTATTCGATGCCGTGTTTTGATTTTAATTTGGTCACGCTTGCAAGCAGTTCTGTCCTACACTTGGCAACTCAGGTGTGCAGAGTATTTTCCGCTTTGCTGCCCGCGTGATGCAGACTGAGGCACGTGGAGAGTAATGATCACTCTGGATTTATGCAGACAAGGCAATGAGACCCCCATCCGCGTAAACGACAACCACAAGTAACAAGGAGGCTGCTAAAGCGGGGGTTTAACCAGGTGGTTGGTCGAACCCCACCACTCAGAGGCACCTGGGAATGACAAGGATTTTCATCACAAGCTTAGTATTTACTCTTCATTTTCCAGGGACCCGAGAGCTCAGGCTTGAAAACCTGGCGAAGATTCCTAAGGGCGGCCAACAAAAATGGTACCTCATTCAGCTCAAGCGACAAAGGCCATCGAGCCTATGTTTGACAGAGCCTCACATATACTTTCTGCCCGATGCTGCAATGTCTTAGCTCCTTGGCATCTGAGTCGTTGTCAAAAACCGCATGCGCCAAGGAAGTCTGGCCAAAACCTGTGGTAAGGATCTACATCCGGACGGGGCTCCCGTCCTCCAATCACCTGGTTTTGCATCTTGGGCTCAAGGTGCTGCGTAAATAGCCTGTGTCTTTCAACTGGTTGTGCTGGGTGTTTTGAACTTTTCATGCGAAAGGCACAAACAAACAACATTTCCTTTGAACACCCAGTTGTGGTTTCGGCTTTTCGTCTCCAGGAGTCCCAGCTCAGCCTCAGTGGAAGGGCCCGCTTTTTGCCTGCGGAGCCTTGCCAGGGTTTGGGGGCTGGGGGAAGGCTTTTTGTCAGCGAACCGTTTTTCAACTTGCCTGAGAGCGAAACTCAAACAGAACCCCCAATTTGAGACAGACCCACTTCGTATTTGGTTACAACCGCGGAGGGGAGGGCAGATCTGCAGAGGGGGAAGAAAGCTTGGTAGGACCCGTATCCCGTGGTGGTCAGGTTTCCTTGTTCGTTCATACTTCGACCTCTGGGTTCTTTTGGGCCAAGGTGTTCATTTTCTATCTGAGATATTTGTCTTAAGAGTCTCAGGTCCTGGGGCAATGGCTCTGAGAAAGAGTGCTGAGGTTGAACAGGGCCCCAGGTTTCACATGTTGAACTGGGCCAGAGGGTTCCTTAAAGAATGCAGGATCCAAATCCTTGTAAAGCAGCTGATTGGTTTGGTGTCATTCCCAATGAGCGGCTCAAGCAGAGTCCTGAACTGGTTTATGGGAGCACAGGAGTAATAAGCCCCCTCTTGATTAGAAGGGCGTCTCCCATTTGAAGCTGGATTCACTGTAGAGCCGCACCGGTGCCAGGAATCTGGGGTTCTTCATCCGGGCTCATGTGGGGAGCTATCCATTAAGGTAGCCAGACCCTTAGACCCAACAACATAGGTGTCCCTTTTGGTTGGTTTGCTTAAAAAATAGAGGGCCCTGGTTTAGATGGGGTTTATTCCATTCGCCAGGGCCATCTATTTTCCCAAAAGCCACCTATGCCCAACAATTCTTTTAGAGTTAGGAGGGATTAGTGATGCCACAGACAAATATCTTTCATCAAGGGATTGACGGGACTCATCGCAGGAGAGCGTGCCTGGCTACGCAGCTGCTTTAGCCTCCGTGGACGATGCCCCAGCGCCTCGCCAATGGTTAGCAGGATCTTGTTGCGGCGTTGCAGCCGTGGGTGAGCCAAAATGTGGGCAATTCAGAAGATCGCCTTTTGGGCCAATATAAAGTGAGTTTTTCTTTGGGTAATGTTTCGTGTTGAAACACATCAGGAACCCTGCAATTGGAGGGTAGTGGGAGAGTTCCAACCACATTTCGGTGCACCAATTGTAGATCCTTCCTTGTCTTTTGGGAGAACCTTTTTGGTGCTGGGTTATGTTTTTGCCCCGATAAAGAATCATAGGGCACTGTAGAAGAACGCCCACAAAGAGGAAGTCCATACCCTTTGAAAGAGGTCCCTGGTGCCTTTTTGGTTGGTTTCTTATCGCCCCCTCTTGGGTTAGCTAGAACCACAGCGCCCAAAAGCTGCGACAGGTGCTGATAGTTGATGAGATGGCCTCGCTGCCTATTCCCGCCCTTCACCGTCTACTCTCCGCCGAAGTGCCACTGATTCTACTGCTGGGGACCTTATCCGGCGCTGAGGGCACCGGGGCGGCGATCGAAGAGAAGGTGTTCAAAGAGCTGGGCTCCGACTCGGCGGAGACGTGGCCGCAGGTTTGTTGCAAAAGAGAGCTTGTTTAGAACATGTCTGTAAGCTTTTGGTTTGTCCTTTGACTTTTTCATGCTTTGGTAAAGTGGCAACCGTGATCCCACTCAACGTCGGTTTGACATGTAAACTTTAGCTTTTGGGAAAATGACAAGCGCGAACCGTCAAACCTGAAACCTATTTGTAGGGGCTCACTCAGACTCTGGTCACAGGCGGCAGAGGTTTTACGCTTCTTTTGCAGGGCTGCAAAGCAACATTTTACCTTGCAACCTCTACACGCCGGCTCTTTCCTTGCCAACTGTCACAACCCTTTTTCGCCAAACGTGTACTCAGGAGGCTTGCCACCACGCATCCCTTCCTTCTGGCGTGTCCAAACGGGACTTCATCAAGCTCTCACTGCAGGAGCCCGTGCGTTACAAGCCGCCTACAGGTACGTGGTACCTTTTGTATTTTCTTGTTCTTTTCTTTCTGTCCGGGGTCCTTTGTAGACGACCTTAAACACATTTTCACATATATATATATATATATACTTATAAGCAACCCTCCCAAAACCCGTGCTTGCTGCTTATCTGGAAGTCGGGTCATTTTAGGGCTCATTTTACAATGCTGGCAGACTTGCGCAGATGATTCATTAAGCTTTTGCCACCCATTTCAATAGCATTTGCTTCTACTTTCTGAAACATGTTTGTGGCTTTACTCCTTTTGATTATTGTTCAATAATTTCATGCATCTTCTGGTGATAAACTAAGTTTATTTCAACACAAGGCAATTTGACCATAGCATCAGAAGCAAAGTTAGGCACAGTGTAAAATCGAAGTTAGGTAAAGCGTCACAATATACAGGCTGTAAGGCATGATATTTCATACATACATCTCTGAAGTTTTTGAGAATGTCAGTCAAGAATAGAGCATCTGCTTTCACAGAAGTCGTGATGTTCTCTCTTGTTTTACTGTTAAAATGTGTCCATATCAATTTTGACTGTTCATAGTCTTCATCACTAATGTTATCCTCGTTTGATTGTCACCAGGAACTGATGCACCATAAAGAAATGCATGCTCGCTCATGATCTACCTTTGCACGGATGCAATTAGAATTCAAATAAGGCTTCCTTACCTAGATTTGCCGTGACCCCGCCCCAAAAAAGGGAAATTGGTCTTGGAGATCTTGGGCTGGCAGGTGTTTTTTCTCTCCGGGACCTTGCAGCATTTCAGCATTTCCAGGCCTTAACATTCTGTACGACCCCAATAAGGCGGGCTGGAACATATTTTGCAAAATTGAACCTTACAGCAAGCGCTGTGTGGTCCCAAAACAAACAACAATCAGTTGGCTGCCAGGGATTCTGGTTTTTGGACCTTACAGTATTTTGAGGCTTGGAAGCGCTGAGATGCGGTAAGGTCCCAAAATCCTTGGCAGCTGTTTTTCTCTTTTTTCCGGACCTCACAGGGGCCTTGCAAGGCCTTTCAAGCCTCAGAGGATTGTGCTTTTGGTGGCCTTGCAGCCAAAAAATGCTGTAAGGCTCAAAAAAAAGAACAATCTTTTCAATCCCCAGAGGATTGGTTTTAGTGGGACCGTACGCTAAGATTCTGTAAGGTCTAAAGAAAACAATCCCTGGCAGCCCAACAACTCCAATGCCCAACCCACTCTTTTCACACCTCAGAGTTCTACGGTTCAAACTGGTCACTGCTTTTAAGTCTGCCCTACCCACACCATTTGTCATCTTCCAAATGAATGCCACCATGTCTGAAAAAGCTGGCCTTGGCTTTCTGACTTGAATCTGGTTTGGAACGAAAATCCAAAAACAGTTTCGACGGACAGCAAAAAGATCAAGGGGGGGTAACCATATATATTTTTGTATATCTACAGACATATACATATACACGTATACATAGATACTTGGGAACATGCGTGCTCCCTCCTATGCCTCCTCACAAGGAGTAGGTTTCGTAGATACTGTATGCAGGGGAAGGATTCAGAATGATTGCCTGTTTTGTTGTTTCTTCCCTCCAGCATCAACCAGCAAAAGGGGGGGTCTATTTTTCTTCCATGGCACAGCTGGGCGGGCAAGTCAGGCTTGGAGATCCGGTGGAGCAGTGGTTGGATTCCTTGCTTTACCTGGACGTGCCCGCGCCGCCCGCTGACCCCGAAGCCTACGGAGTCTTTGCAAAACACAGCAGCTTTTTGAACTTGCTCTTCAGTTTTCATCCGCTTGAGTCATGGCAGGAATGGGCTTTCATTTTCAGGCAATGGGTGCTTCTCAAATCGGGCACCCTCTGAGGGTGGTTTCCTTTTGATTCATCCAACCCTTTGTATACTGCTTTCTTCCTGGACGCGGGTTCTGTGCACTTCCATATTTCATGACTATTGTGTGTGACATGCGAGGAGTGGTGGGCAGGGCCAAGTTCCTGGAAATCGACCCTCGCTCCGAGGACCCTTTGGTGCCGGAGGTGGGGGTTTCTCATTTCCGGAATTTCAGACCTGATTTTGGTAGCTGGTCAAAGGGAAGCCAGTTGTTTCAGGGGACCGCGATTTTGACCAAAGCCGTTTTGGGGGAACCCCGAGTTGGACAAAACCTCCCAGGTGATGGGCTTGCTGAGGGGCCATTACCGCACCTCGCCCAACGACTTGACACGCCTGGTCATGGACTCCCACATCAGGACGTGAGACATGGCGTAGCTGCCTCACTCTGGATATTTCAGAGTTGGCTCGGGCTTGTGTTTTGCAAACCGGACAAATGAATGTAAAACCCTGCAAGTTGTTTCTTAGTTTGAGGCAGACCCCTATTTTGTTGGCTCGACCCCTATTTTGTTGGCTCCCCAAACGCCAAATGTATACCCACAAGTGGCTGGTTTCGGATGCTAGGCAATCATACACGGGCATGATTTTTGAGGGTTCTTTCTCTTTTTCTTCTCCCTTTTTTTCTCCTATTTTCGGGAAATCCAAACAAACCAATCATACATTTGGCACACACACACTTGAACTCCAGATGGAGAGTGCTAATCTTTCGAGTACAACTGATGAGTCTCGAGTACAACCGACAAGTCTCGAGTATGATGAGTTTCGGCTCGCAATGTATTCGGCTTCCCTCTAGTGTCGAAAACGTTACCAGAAAGAACAAGAAGCACAAACAGCGCCGCAACCAAGGGGCCAAAAGGACTTTCAGAATCACTGAAGCAGGTACAGGTGTCCACGTCTGGACACCCTTCCCACCTTTGGCAACAGCTTCATTGCGTGCAGTATGCCAAAGGTGCTGCACGCCCCTGCTGCGAAGCCGAAAGGGTGGTAACAGGGCATTCTGTCACTCCGCACACACACGCCCCTCTACGAGGGGCGAGAACCACTTTTTCGGGGGGAGAAAAACCACGCGCCCCAAAACCGGGCGAAGACCCCAACAGAAAACAAACGGAGCAAGGGAGCCCAAAAGAAACAGAAAGGCCCCAGGTTGGGTCTCCGCGGGCAAAACCCCAAACAAGAAACAAGAACAACGGGGAAGCCAGGTTTCGGGTCTCCGAGGGCAACAACCCCAACCAGCACAAAAACGACCTAGACCTTGTAGACGAAAGGGGCCGCGAAGGCAAAGAGGCAGAAGAGGAGCAGGCCATCCCTAACCGGGCGAACAGGAAGTACAAGAAATAGCCCAGAGAGGGAAAGAAAAAGAAAGGGAAGAAAGAAAGGGACGAAAGAGAGAAAGAAAGAGAGAGAGAGAGACAGACACAGAAAAAGAGAGAGAAAGAGAGAGAGAGACACAGAAGCGTATTTAGGGCGTCGCAACCGCCCGGGGGAAAAAGAAAGGATCAGGGTGCGTATTTAGGGCGCCGCATCCCGCCCGGGAAGAAGGAACAAGAAGCAAAAGGCAAGGAGACAAAAGGAAAAAAAGAAAGAAGAAGGAAGAAAGAAGAGGAAGAGGGAAGGAGTAGTATGCGTTTTTAGGGCGACGCATCCCGCCCAGATAGGAACAGAGGATGAAGACCAAGGCTCGCGGAGAAAGACGTCGAATCCCGCACAGGGGCCAAGAGGACGGACCCGAAGTAGCAACGGAAGGGGAAGAAGACGTCAAGCCAAACTACGTGAGGAAGAAGAGGAGTAGGAACAGGAAGACAGACGCGAAGACGAAGACGAGGAAAAAGGTGAACAACGCGAGGACAACCAGGCCATCCCTAAGCGGGCGAACAGGAGCGGGACGAACGCGCGGGTCACGAAAGGCAGCAAAAAGAGAACGGGAGGAAGGAGAAGCCATCCCTAAACGGGCGAAGGACCAGAAGACGGGCACGCGGAAGAAGAAGGCGAGAAAAAAGGGAAGACGTAGGGTGAGACGTCACTATGGTCTGATGGCTTTCTTCCCTTTAGTGAAACCTCGTTCCTGGTTAAATGTGAAATTCCGCTGTTCTATGATCAGCACGTTGAGGTCAAATTTTCCGACAGAGCCGGCCCGGGGTCACACAAT